TGTGATTTGAACCCATGTCAGGCCCTAACCAGGGGGCTGAGCCACTAAGCAACGTGCTTTCCAGTAGAGACTGTCCTGACTGTCCCTGCCTGTTCATCAGCTGTACTTTCTTGTTTCCAGTTGAAATCTGGAGAAAACATCTGGAAGTGTACAGTCAGTGTGCCTTGGAGCTAGAAGAATCGCTGGAGGCTTCAACCTCTCAGATGATGAATTTGAATTTATAAGAATTCTTTTGTGTGTTTGTGTATTTGGGGTAAGGAGGGAGGTCTGAACTGTGGGGCCCTTCTTAGTTCTTCATTGACCTAGTATGTCTGTAATGCCATTTTTTTGGGAAGTTACCCAGTGCGAAGTGCACGGGAAGCAGCCTTTGTGGCATCCAGGGCTGCAAGTCCCACAAATGGGCACTTGAGTATTGTGAAGGAAACCTTTTCCAAAAGCCTTGGGATACAGCCTTGGCCCTCCGAGCACACCGAGTCTGGAAAACACTGGAAAGCTTGGTACTCCAAGTCCTCTGCTGCTGAGGAAACATCCTGTCCGTTGCAGAAGAGCTGAGCCAAATTAGTTTGCAGAAAACAGGGCAGTGTGGCTGATGTTCTCTCAGTCCCAGTGACCCAGCCCTGCATGGAGCCAGTGTTAGAGCAGGAGGGCGGGGAAGGCCCCTTCTCAGGACCTGCCTGGCCTTGCCAACTGGAAGATTTGGGGATACTTGGAGAGTTTGCTAAAATGAGCCTCAGAAGAAAAAATTGGTTTTCTAACCTGTGACCTTTGACATGAATTATTTCCTTTAGTTTTTATTTTTCAAGGAAACTATATATATTAAAGTTCCTAATTTTCAGTTTTGATAATCTACAGATCTTTTCTTTCTTTTGTAAATGAACATATTCTAAATGTGATTTCTATCTCAGAAGCCAGGAGGCAAGAAGTTTACTTTCGTATTTTCCTGTAAGAGGGCTTATTTATTTTGAATAAAGAGTGATTATTTAATTTCCTTGGAGACTGGTCATCTGGCTTTCCTTGGTCTCTGTCTTACTAGTTCTTCCTTTGTCTTGATCTGTGCCTTTTGGCCTTTGAACATAATGGGACTGAGCAGGGAGAGGTTTGCTGAAGCTAGGGGTTGCAACTGCTGAAGTCTTAAACCCTCAGAGACTTGCCATCACCAGACCCTGCCTCAGTCTGCTTGCTTGCATGCGTGTCACAGAGGAAACAACAGGAAAGGAGTTTCACTGCTTTGTGCTTATCAGGCAGCAGGGTATGGTGTTGGCTTTGAAAAAACTGTTAGTTGAATTCAGTCATGCCAAATATTGTACCCCTGAGAAGTGGCCTGTGATGAACAAATAAAAGTGGAACAGTGAGTCAGAAACGGCACACTGTGTGGACAGGGCTGGTAGTATGACCGGAGATTGTGTATATGAAGCACTCATCTGTCTTATCGGTAACACTTGTTATTCCCAGTGTGTTCCCTGCCTCTCCAAACGTATTCAGAGCTGTTTAAATGGGGACATAGGCTCTGGTCGACCAGGTCCTAAGTCCCAAGCCCTGATTCCTGTCCATAAGTTTCTCCCTCTGGTCCACCAAGAAGAGCAGCATCAGGAAGGTCTTTCCTCCCCTTTTGTGCCAATAGGTAGCAAATCAGCTGTAGTAGGTTTGAAAATAGATTGAGAATGAAGTTTTCAAAATTATAAGGAGAAATGAAATAACTTTTCAGCTGCACTGAGCAGCCTAGAGTTGTAAAACTAACAAATCAGGAAATCATTAAGAAATAGATTTCCAGTCAGGATGGAATAGGTAAACTCTGAGATCTTCTCCTCCCACAATCAAAATTAGAACTAAAATATAGAACCGTCACTGAGGACCATCTGAATACTAGCTGAACAGAATTCCTATAACAGGATATAAAAAAGCCATGATGAGACTGGTAAAAGGGGCAGAGACAAAGACTGAGAAGGTCCCACACGCATGGTGTGGCGATTAAGAAACAGATGAGAGATGTATCCACTGTGGAGGTACCCCTGAAGAGCAAGGGGTCCCAGCCGCATACAGGGCTCCTCAGCCCAGGCACCAGTGCTAGGAAGAGGAGTCACCATAACATCTGGCTGTGAAAACCAGCAGGGATTGTGTCCAAGAGAAGCAAATCACTGCTAGAGACTCAGATGCTGCTCTTAAAAGGACCAACATACAGAGACTCTCTCGCAAACTCAAAGTACCAGCACAGGGTCAGCAACTCAAAAAGCTTCAGGGACATACAGGGAACAAAACTAACTACAGGGCAAGGGCTAGAAGGGCAGGGACTGGGGCAACTCTGGTAGAAGCGCTGGCAGGTGCCATTGTTCCTTTGTTGAGCTCTCCCATCCAGTCTTCCCAGTGCAGGAAGGTGCCAAATCTGTGCGCTCTATTAACCTAACATTGTTCACCCCACCTGGTGATTCCCTGAAACTCTACCTCACCTAACTCACATGGCCTGAGCCTTTCAGCAGCTACTCCACACAAGCAGCCTGCTTCACCTCATGTTGCAGACTTAACCAAAAATCTACAAACCTCATAGGAGTTATGGCTGCTCTAGGCTTACTGCAGGTTTTCTCAAAGGTGTGCAAATCCCACACAAATGATGGCCACCCTCAGCTTGCACTACAGACTGAAAGGTCCACAAACCATACACGAGTAGCAGCCAGCCTTGGCATGCATTGTAGCTCCTACCAAGTGGACTCAGTCCCAGTACAAGTGGCAACAGTCTCCCACTGTAACTCCCAACAGGTGGCCCCAAGCCTGGTATAAGTGATGACTATAACAGTTCCAACTAAGCAGCCAGGAGGTCAGCTGGAAGTCACAAGTGGCAGCTGACCTCAGTTCACAGCAACCTCTCCCAAGCACCTCCAAGCCCAGCACAAGCAGCAACCAGCCACAGATCACTTTGTAGCCCCTACCAGGTGGCCCCAAACTAGATAAGCAGCAGCTGACCTGGGCCTGCACTAGAGCCCCTCTCAAGAGGCTCCAGACCCAACACACATGCTGCATCAGAGCCCCACCCAACCAGTTCCTCAACTGACATACCCAAAAAGAAGCCTCAGCTGGCACCAGAGCCCTGCTGAAATGACTCCTGCTCCATGGGGACAGCTTCCACACAATAGCTTGTATCCTGTAGTCACAGCCATCCTCACAGCCAGTGGGTCTGAGGGTCAACCCCACCCACTGATGTGCCAGCAGCCATTGATGCCCAGCCACAATAGGAGGGTACACACAACCCACACTGGAAACAACCTTGGAGTACCTGGCTCATGTGACCAGGGAGACTGCCACGGAATGCCACAAGACACCATCCACATAAAGTCACTCTGTCAATATCGGGAGATGTAAAAGATCTACTTAATATATAGAGAAAAACAGCAAGTCAGCCAAAACAAAGAGACAACACATGTCCCAAATTAAAGAACAGGACAAAACTGCAGGGGGAAAAAAATGAAGAAAAGCAAGCTACATGAACAGAGTTTAAAACACTGATTATAAGGATTCTCAGTAAACTTGGGAAAATAGATGAACTCAGTGAGAACCTTGAAGACAAAACAAAAAGATGAGATAGAAAGCATAAAAAAGAACCAGTCAGAACTGAAAGATACACCAGTGAATAAATAGCACATTAGATGAAGCAGGTGGTGAATCAGCGATCTAGAAGACAAGGTAGCAGAAAACATCTAATTAGAACAGCAAAAAAAAAATTTTAATGAGAGTAGTTTAAGGGACCCTAGGAACAACATCAGGACCAACATTCATATCATTAGGGTCCCAGAAGGAGGAGAGAGAGAGCAAAGGATTGATAACCTATTTAAAGAAATATGTCTTAAAAACTTCCCCAACTTGGCGAAGGAAATAGACATACAAGTCCAGGAAGCACTGAGAGTCCCAAACAAGATGAATCCAAAGAGGCCCACACCAAGACACATCATAATTCAAAAGCCATAGGTTAAAGACAGAGAATCTCAAAGGCAGCAAGAGAAAAGCAGTGAATTACATACAAAGGAGCTCCCATGAGACTATCAGCTGATTTTTCAATAGAAACATTGAAGGCCAGAAGGGATTGGCACAAGATATTAAAAAAAAAAAAAAAAATGGCAAAAAACTGTAAGCAAGATTGCTCTACCTAGCAAGGCTATCATTTAGAATCAAAAGAGAGATGAAGAGTTTACCAGACAAGAAAAAGCTAAAGGCGTTGATCACCACTAAACCAGTATTACAAGAAATAATAAAGGAACTTCTTTAAATAGAAAAGATAACTGAATGAAAAGGTATAGGAAAGAAAAATTCTCACTGACAAAGGCAAACATTAAAAGCAGTGGATCAATCAATTATACAGATAGTACAAAGGTTAAAAGACAAAAGCAGAAAGATCATGTGTAATTACAACAATAAGTTAAGGGATACACACAAAAGAGGTAAAAATAATGACAACATAAATGTGGAGGTGTGGGTAAAAATTGTGATTTAGAATGTGTTCAGTTTTAAGCAACCATCAATTAAATAGACATCTATAAACTGGTTGGGAAATATGAAGCACATGGTAACCACAAACCAAAAATGTGTAAGAGGTACACAAGAAAAAAAGAACAAAATTCAAACATAATATTACAGAAAGTCATCAACATGCAAGAGAAGAACAAGAGAAAAAGGAACAGAGAACTATAAAAACAAAACAATGAAATGGCAGTAACTACATACCTATCAATAACTACTTAAAATGTAAATGGACTAAATGCTCCAATCAAAAGAGGGTGGCTGAGTGGATTTTTTTTTTTAAAAAAGACCCATACATACATATGCTGCCTATAAGAGACCCACTTTAGATTGAAAGACACACAAAACGAAAATAAGGGAATGGAAGAAATTTCATGCAGATGGAAACAAAAGCTGAATAGTAATACTCAGACAAAACAGACTTTAAAACAAAGGCTGTAACAAGAGACAAAGAAGGGTATTTCATAATTATAAAGGTATCAATCCATAAAGAGGACATAATTCTTGTAAACATTTACTTACCAATGTAGGAGTACCTAAATCTATAAATACTGAGAGGCATAAAGGGAGAGATTGATAATAATACAATAATATTAAGGAACTTTTAACACCTCATTAATATCAATGGATAGATCATCCAGACAAAAAATCAAAAGGAAATAGTGGCCTTAACCATCTTCTCTGACTACAATAGTATGAAACTAGAAATCGATTACAAGAAGAAAACTGAAAAACACACAAACACATGGAGGCTAAATAACATGCCTTAAACAATGAATGGGTTGATAATGAAATCAGAAAAGATATCAAAAGATGCTTGAGGCAAATAAAAATGAAAACAATGACCCAAATTTTATGGGACACAGCCAATGCAGTTTTGGGAGGGTCGGGGGGGGATTCATGGAGATACTAGAAAAATTTCATACCATCTAACCTTATACCTAAAGGAACTAGGAAAAGAACAAACAAAGCCAATAGTGAGTAGAAGGAAGGAAATAATAAAGATCAGAGCAGAAATAAATGAAAATAGAGGCTAAAAAAAAAAAAAAATAGAAAAGATCAGTGAAACCAAGAATTGGCTTTATGGAAAAGATACAAAAAATTGACAAAACCTTTAGTCAGACTCATCAAGAAAAAAAGGGAAGGCCCAAACAAATAAAAGAAGTGACAACTGACACCACAGAAATACAAAGAATTATAAGAAAATATGAGGAACAATTATATGCCAACAAATTTTACAACCTGGAAGAAATGGATAAATTCCTAGAAACATACAATCGTTCAAAACCAAATAAGAAAGAAACAAAACCTGCATAGAACAAATAACTACTGCTGAAATTGAATCAGTAATCAAAAAACTCCCAACAAACATAAGTCCTAGACCAGATGGCTTCACAGGTGAATTTTACCAAACATTCAAAGAATTAATACCTATTCTCATCAAACTATTCCAAAAAATTGAAGAGAAAGAAGGCTCTCAAACTCATTTTA